GATGATGGAAACACTTTGCTGACCAGCCACATTGAAGGTTGCATGTAACAGGTAAAAGGTTAGGAAACTGCAATGAAAGTATAGCCTATGATCTGCTGTTTTTCTGTTTCCCAAGGTCCAGGACCTCTCCAGTGCCACAAAACTGTAAAGGTTCCACAGACTGTAAGTATGGCTCTGTCTGTATTTGCTGATTTCTTTGATTGACTGGGAGAAGCTGCAGATCCAGCTGTCCAGTCCCTAAATTACTGCTGACGGAGAAATGATCGGGGGGATTCATTGCCTGGTATGGATTCTATTCTGCTTTAATTCAGAGTTTGCCTGTTGGTGACAACTGGGTAGCGGGATACTAGGTGGCAACATTCTATTTTAATTGAGAATCCATTTATGCTCCTATGTGAGGTACTTTACTTTTGTACTTTCAGATAACATTCGGCACCTAAAGTATTGGCTGTTGAATATTTTGTTACCGCAGTTTAATTTTATACTGTTTCACATCTTTATTTAAGTGGCACGTCCTTGTCCAGATGGACATCAGATGGTAAGCCATGCTTGCATTTAACATTTTTTCTTCTTTTTCTTTTGAGGTCCAGTTACCCAGACTGTTTAGGTCTGTTTAGCTTTAGCCAGTAGTTACCTGACTGAGTCTGTTTATGTGGTTTCACAGGACAGGGTATATATTTACTGCTTAATGTCTGTCTTAGTGGGGGATTTTACCTAAAGCAAGTAATGTACCTAAATTATATCCACTGTAATCTTCATTTTCCCCCTAGTGTGCTGTTTTACAGGTTAGTTTAGTTGCTGAATGTTACTTACATTTCAGGTGTATTGCTGATACTGTGCACTTTTATCAGATGCATCCATGTAGATGAATTAGTTATTTAAAGGCCCTGAGAATTCTTAAGTAATCTCAGTGTTACAATCCCAGTGGCCTGTACTACGAAGCGGGGTTACTGGCTTATCGGGGTAACTTGTCGGATTTAAGGTACCACAGTTTAAATGGACTTCATATTCGCTCACTTACATTTTGCCCAGACTACCTTAAATCCAACAAGTTACCCCGATAAGCCAGTAACCCCGCTTCGTAGTACAGGCCACAGGTCTAGGTCTGGGATTAACATTGTTATTATTTTGGTTTAGGACCGAAAACACCACAGACACCAAAATGTAAGATAAAAATAGAATGATATGCTTTTATTAACGCGTGTGGCAAGTAAAGTGACAAATATCAAGGGCAAAAACAATATCTAAACGGTGGGAGGCTATAGGCGGCGTCAAAGAAAAGAAATAAGCAAAAGGGTCTAAATAACCTACCTGTCCATTTAATCCCCAAAGGAGAACTACTCTGTCCTAAACAAAGGTACATAGGTTGCGCCCGCCCCTAAACTGGTGTAACTAGATGTTCAGTATTTCTACGTTTGGTAAATGTACATTTGCGCACATTCTAAACTGAGCCACACCACCTTAGGAGTCAGGTACCGGTATATTGGTTACCACAACGAGCAGTTTGTCGTTTAGGATAAAAGTCCTCGCACTTAAGCCATCACGGTGTAAACGTGCAACAACGACAAGCACAAAGGCATCTATAAATCATACAAAAAGCATCTGCAGGAATGAAAAAGGAGAATCAAAACGAGGATCGAGCATGGACGCCAGACGCCATGCTGCAAGACGCTGATGTCGCTGTTCAGTTTGTTCCATCTCCTTATAAAGGGAAGTCTCCACCCCAGACGTCATCAATCCGCACCAACGGAGTGACCTGTAACACAAAGAGCAAACAAAACCACACACAAAGACAAGACAACGGCCACACGTAACACTCAGAATATTGCCTCATTAAGAAATGAAAAACGGCGACTGAGCTTGTGGGCCCATGATCCACAAGATGAAAGCTGAATAAGCAAGAAGGATTAGGGAATTAGGGAAGGAACCTGAGTTAGAGTTCCAGCATTTTGGCTATAAGCAGCTGGTTACTGGAATCATCCAAAATGGATTTTTCCAGCATTTGAATTTTGCTGAATGACCTCAGTAGAGTGTGGGGATACGCACAAGTTCCTGGCTGAGGGCTGTATGGGTGGAGTTTTTCCTGGTGGACGTGAGATTTGCATTTATATGTGACAGTGGGGTTGCAGAGAGCAAAACTCTGACTATCTGTGTGAATGATTTGAATAGCAGATTAAAGTGCAGTTGATGAATGTGTTTCTCAGATTGTTTAGTTCTATAATTAACATTTATGAATGGCCTGATTCATATCAATATCTCATAGTTCTTGGAGTTCATGTCCAGTGTTCTTCTATACCAGATTACAATAGGCAGTGTTCAGTGTCTACGAGTGATGAAAGGTGAAATTAACAGTTAAAGTCTCTCAATCTCAACATCATTCTTTGCCTCACAGAGTGTTGTGTATGAAAACTGCCAAGAGCTGGCGAACTCCAACGTTAAGGCTCCTGCTGTGAGTATCTCAGTGTTTCATTTCTTGGTGTAAGGCACACATTAGCATTGATTTTATACAGTTATTTATGTGTTTTATATGAGAGCACCCTGTCACATCTTGATGTTGTTTTGTTGCAGCCAAAGAATTTTCAGCCCATATCCTCTGACTCAGACCACATATACACTGTAAGGTTATATATTCTTAAAACCTGAAGTCATTAGGACCCAAAACAGACTGAAAATGAAGGAAGCTTAATATTGCATGCTACACATTCTCTTTTGCTTTTCATATAGGGTCTGGAATTTAATGACACATCCACCTATAGCAACTTAAACCTGTAAGTAACTTTTCCCAACATCTGTATATGATAAAAAGCTGTTAATTAATTAATCTCAATTACTCAAATATTAAAGAGCTAAAATTTGTTTTCCCAATTACTTTGCAATTTGGTTGAAGGAAGATGGTGCAATGAGGATGAGGGTCCAAATGAAGAGCAAAAGCCTAAGTTGTGTGGAAGTACTTCACATTAAAAGTGAATGAAAATGCAGTTGTCTGTCAGTATTGCAAAGCAGAACTAAATATTGCAACATTCATGGGAGTCGTGCAGTGGTTAGCACTGTGTTCTCACACTGGGGCCAGGGTTTGAGTCTCCACCATGGCTCCATATGTGTGGAGCTTGCATGTTCGAACCATGTCCACAGTCTGAAAACATGCTGAGGTTAGTTGGTCAATAAACAAACAGCCTATGTGAGAGAATGGTGAATACCAGAAAGTTAATAGCAAACCAGAGGTGACAAAGGAAAAACTCCCTAGAAGGAAGAAACCATGGGAGGGACTAGACTCAAAGGAGGAACCCATCTTCTAGGGACCGGCAGAGGAAGTCAAATTCACACTGTCCCAATTTTAAGATTTGAGTCACAAAGCAGGGGGCAGGCAGGTGATGGCAGGCAGAAGCTGGTGCAGCTTCTGATTGCAGGACGAACAGTGGTACAGCAGCAGGGCATTCAGGAGAGACACCACAGGCAGAAGGGCGAGCAGGTAGTGAAGGGAGCCACTGGAAGTAGAGGCGTCGCAGGCAGTAGGGAAGGCAGAATATCTTGATATTATTGTGTCTCCAGGCAGCACAGCCCAAGAGGGGTTGGGGAAATAAAAAATGCAATCAGCTGAATTATGGGAGACTAGAGCCAGTGCAAACAGTTAGGTGAGTGTGGTTTGTAAGCTCTGGTAGATATGGCTACGGCAGCATAAGTAGGAGGGAGAGGCAAGTGGGAACACAGGCATGGGGGGTCCCTGAAATGTCAGCACTCCAATTCCACAAGGGGGTGTGAAGCTAGAGTGACAGCACTGACAGTTCAGTTTATCCAAGGCCAATAGCACCGATCCCCACCCAGCTCTACACCTCACACTATAGGTCTAACTGGGAGTGAGCAGTTAGCTAGACCCAGAACTAGAGTCCCTATAGGCCAGATTAAACAAGTGTGTTTTTAGTCTAGACTTGAATACTGAGAGTGAGCCTGAATCTCACACATCCACTGGGAGATTATTCCACAGCTGCGGAGCTCTTTAAGAGAATGCTCTGCAGCCTGCTGTAGTTCTTCCTACTCTAGGTGCTAACAGATATCCTGTTTCAGTTGTTTCTATTGATCCAGTTGAGCATGAAATATCCTGAACTTCTTTATTTCCTTTGTTCTCACAGATCCTGAAGGAGGCATGTGTGCTGGACCATTTATATTTTTAATATAATACTTTGACACTATAACTTGTGCCTGCATTTTGTGATCAGATACAATATCAGCACTTCCTCGGTGTCCCGCGCAGGTCCTTCACCCCACAGCAAAACCAAAATCAACAAACACAAAAACCACAATTCTAACAGATAAACGAATAAAGTTTTAACTTTAAATAATTTCTCTGTGTCTGTTTGTGTTTATATAGAAAATTAACTGCAGGGAAAATTGAAACTGGCATATTTCCAAATAAAGCTGATTATATGGTTCTGTACACCAATGTATTCAAAAAGGAAGCGTAGTGTCATGTCCCTCCAAAAGAAGCTCGACATCATTAGAGGTACTAAAAGGAAACTCACACAGAGCTGTTGCAGACCATTTTAGAGTGGCTAAGTCTACGGTAGGCGATATTTGGAAGAGTAAAGAAAAAATCATCCAGCTCACTTGATGCTGGTTAAAACCTGGATGACCACTGCAAGATTAAATGGGATGATTCGCTGCTGTAGTTTCCACTGAGGTGCCTTGATACAGCACTCTGGGAACAGCCTATTCGTTCAGAAATTTCTTTCTGTGCCTTACCCTCTTGCTTGACGGTGTCAATGATGGCCTTCTGGACAGCAGTCAGGTCGGCAGTCTTACCCATGATTGCAGTTTTGAGTAATGAACCAGGCTGGGAGTTTTTAAAAGCCTCAGGAATCTTTTGCAGGTGTTTAGAGTTAATTAGTTGATTCAGATGATTAGGTTAATAGCTTGTTTAGAGAACCTTTTCATGATATGCTAATTTTTTGAACTGAAGTTTTTTGAGACTTCAGTTGTGTGTAATGAATCTAACATATATGAAAGTCTAATGTGTATCAGTCCATTACAGAAAATAATTAACTTTATCACAATATGCAAATTTTTTGAGAAGGACCTGTATATACAGTGGTACCTCGGTTCTCGAAATCACTAGAACTCGAATTTCTTAAGTCGAACAAACCAGTTTGACCTAGAACTCGATCTGAATATCAGAAGTCAAACCGTGAATGCTGACATAATATAAATTGTACGCGCCAGGAAATGAGTCATATTACAATGCAATTCTTACTTGAATGCCTTCTTCACAGACTGGACGATTAACCAAATAAAGCAGCGCAACATTACAGTAACTAACAATAAATAAGCCACTAACTTACGTGTACTATCAGAGCATTTATGTCATTTATTTAAACTTTATTTTACTAGGTAAATTAGCTGAAAACCAGTTCTCACTGCTTTACATCATATTCGGGAGAAATAGCAGATTACGTATCGGAACTGCCTGGGATACAAACGTCATGCGTGTAACTAAACTCTTCAGCCAATAAGGGCAAAGGTGTGTCGTCACAGATGCGGTGCAGTTTGTGCAGCCGGGTGAGAGGTCGCAATGCATCTAACCGTAATGCATTGCGTCAGGATCAGAATGCGTTGCTTTAAGCCAGCGCTGTAATCAAGTCGAACGCAACCAATGACCGGACTGGGGAAACTAATTGAAACGCGGACTTAATACAGAGGACTAATGACAAACAGCTGATCACATGGGGATCCCACACGAGTTAATGAGGGGGCGTGGCACACGGAATGAGCGGATCTTTATCGTTTTGGAAGGCATTAAGAAAAAAATGCTCTTCTTGTTTTATCCTGTTCATTTTGTGTTTAAATGCTAAAAAATATATATTTAGGTGTAATTTTGGGGGGCCGGGAACCAATTAATTGGTTTTCCATTATTTCTTATGGGAAAAATTCGATCAGAACTCGAGTCGATCTTTTTAGGATTCGGAACGGATTAAGTTCGAGAACCGAGGTACCACTGTATATATTTTTACTTACAGAAAAGGTATTTTAAAATGCATACACTTCTTCAGCACTTTTATCAGTTAAATGTGTTCCTGTTACAAGTTCAAACAAATTCAAAAATTGGAATTAAACTGTCACATCGGGGCCTGAGACCACGCCCCACAGCGGAAGCAACACAGAGAGGGACCGCCCCTCACAGTTTTAAAAGGGCAGTCCTGACCAGCATTACTTGCGAAGTATTGTTGCCATTGCTGTTGTGTGACAAAATGTTTCTTATGACCCATAAGTGGTAATGTATTTAGAAAGAAATACACTATGCCAAAAAACACTGCTAGTTACAATGTGGCCATTTTGGATAGGTTTCAGATAGGTTTCAGATAGGTTTTAGATAGGATTGGCTCCCAGTTGCACCATTTGCCTGGTGCAATCCATAGGGTTAATGTGCCTTGCTGAGCGGTTTATTGTCTCCTGTCTCTCTCTCCTGCCCTGCTTGCCCTGCCTGCCCTGTTTTCCTCGCCTGCCCATCCCAGACCTCTTGTCATCCTGCATCCTGGTTGTTCCTGCCTCCTGTCCTGTCTGTCCCCCTGTCCGGTGTGCCTGTGTAGCATTCGACTTTTTTGCTACGTCCCCAACTACGCCTCTCACCTTGCCCTTCGGACTTGCCAGCTTTCAGTTATTAATAAACCCGTTATCTCCCGCATTCTGGGTCCCGTCTCTGGTGTTCTGCCCAAGTCTGACATAAACATTAAAGTTAATAACAAATCTAGAATATAATACATTAAAATTTAAATACCTTTCGTTTCAGAACTGAAATTGGTGATTAGTGATTCCAAAAACATTGGTTAAACATAATAATGATTCAATCAACAGTCCAAAATGAATGAAGGTACTTTCCAAACAATTGTCAGAGATTGAAGTGACAAAATGCAAAAGTCTGGTTTTTCCCTTAACCCTCCCTTTTTGTGGTTTTGCCACCTGGGAAGTGTGGGTACCATGTTGTCTGACTCGCAGCCTTTAGCTTAGCCCTTCACAAAAGGATCCACAAGTTGCTGTTTACTGCTTCTTCATTTATTGCAAAAAAAAAACATATTACAAAATGAAATGCGAATCATCTTGCTGCCTTATCATCTCTGACGATTCCCCAGGGCAGCGAACCGACCGTGCCTAAAGCCCAAGGCTGAGGTCAATGACTGTGTCTGCTGGCCCGCTTCTCTCCCGCCATGTGCCACGTCACCTCCTTTTCCGGGCAGCACCCTCACCACCTGTAGGGGGTGCACTTGTGCCAAATACAAACTGATTACAGTAAACATACATCAAGCAATTTACCTATGGCTCCTACAGAGATTATATATAGAAAAATACCAAAATCAAATTCTAACAATAAATTAAACTCCAACAATGGCAATAATAAAGTATAATAAATAAATAAATTCAATTAATTGAATTAACTGAAATGCATCACAAACTGAAAAAAGTCCAACAAATCTTTTATTGTAAACAAGCATACCAAAAGTCATGCAAGCAGCTTGTTATGCAATGCCTGCACCTTTGGAGACATCTTCATTGCATCCAGCCCAAGAAAGATCTTTTGGTGCTGGTGATGACCCGGCGGCATAGTCGTAAGTCCAAATTTAACTCACACCAGCACCATTCAACCATTCGCATTTCCAACAGATTCTCCCCACTCAGTGAAACACCCACTGAGACACCTGTTCAAAGCACTAGCTCAAAGTCTTGAGGAAAATCACTGACTAGCTAGAGCCAAGTTCAGGCTGCAAGCAAAGTGGCATAACTGAATACCTTCTAGTCACTTGGAGTCGTCACCTAGGGTTCAAATTGTAGTGCCGGGCAGACTGAGGCATTGCGAGAGTGGCGAGTGATGAGGAGACTTGCTTGCTGGAAGAACACAGCTCTTTTATTAGAGCCCTTAAAAGGACTAACAGTGGCACCCAAGAAGCACTGAACCAAACATGCTAGCAAAAGACAGGGAGTTCAGACAATGTTAAACTCGACGGTAAAACTCACACATGGTGGGTGATTTATACAATGCTAAAGACACTCGAGGATCAGACAGGGTTTACGCAAGACATGAGCAAACACAAACGCAACAATAGGAGAGTGCAACCATGGGATATTTACATTATCACTCGCAGGCTATGCTGGGACATGCAAACCCCATTGACGCTGCAATATTATTGAGACTGTGGCTAAAACTTGGACTTTTGAATGCAAGAACACTGGTGTCATGCCCCGATTGTGCGCTCCTCCTGTGTGCCACACCCTCTTAATCACATGTGGAATCCTCCAGCCTTCTGCTACTGATAATGACACCTTTGAATTATTCTTTCCTGTAAAACAATCAAAACTCCTGCAAATCTTCTACTAGCATTGTTGACCCAATTCCTTTGAAACTCCATAAGGAGATTGTAGCACTGATTAGCATTACTGTGGTAAATTTCCTTTCACTTTAAAGATCCTGGAAAAAGTTGTTGTTCATCAGTTCTCTTCTTTCCTACAGAAAAAAAAATGCTAATGAACGATATTCGTCTGGCTTTAGACCAAACCATAGCACAGAAACAGCTTTAATCAAAGTAATTCATGATTTGCTTATGGCTTCTGAGGGATTTCCCTAGTTAATTTGTAGTTATTTATTTATGTTCATTTAGTTCATTAATTTATACCTTTCATATTTCTTATATTTGCATTTCTTTCTGTCCTTGCTACTCGCTCACCATGTTCTTTGCCTCTCATACAACTTACTCTCACCAAGGCCGTCTGACCCCCCGGCTCCGGGAGTCTGTATGAAGACCATAGAT